AAAGTGCAGCCTGTGCTTAGAAGGGGTCATAGTAATAGAGATATTGTAGCTAATGTTAGATTGTTCTTGGCTGAAAGCAGAGTACCAGAGGAATGTCTACCTGTGTTTAATTATGCAAAGACATTTGACTGTGTGGAACACAACAAACTGTGGCTAACCCTGGGGAGAATGTGAATGCCAGAACACTTAATTGTGCTTATGTGAAACCTATACTTGGACCAGGAGGCAGTCATCAGAACAGAGCAAGGAAACACTGCATGGTTCAAAATTGGGAAGGATGTACACCAGCAATGTATCCTATCTCCATACCTTTACCTTTATATTATCACTCCCCCTGTTGTTCTGGTTGCCAATTGCTTGGTATATTTTTTCCACACCCTTTTATTTTTAGTCTTTCTTTATCTTCACTTTTTAGGCATGTCTCTTGTAGGCAATATATATTATGGGATTTGGGGTTATTTTTTTATCCTATCTTCTACTCGTTTTCTCTCTTTAGTGGTGTATTTAAACCATTCACATTCAGTGTAATTATTGAAAGGCAAGTTTTTCTGGTTATCATTTTATTGAGTTCTTTTTGGTGTTGTTGCTTGTTATTTTAGTCCATCCTGCTTTCTGTTGTACCTCTGTAAGAAGAATGTCTCTCTGTGTTTCCTGCAACTCTGGTCTTGTTTTTATAAACTCCTGTAGGTTCTGCTTTTCTGAGAATATCTTGATCTCTCCTTCATATTTGATGGACAATTTTTCTGGGTTTATCTTGGTTTCATATTTGATGGACAATTTTTCTCGGTTTATCTTGGTTAATAGTTGTGTTCCTGGAGTGTTTGAGATTTGTCATTTCACTGTCTTCTTGCTTGCTGAAAAATATGGCATTTAATCTTACTTGCTTGCCCTTATAGGTTACTCTTTGCTTCTCCCTAGCTGCTTTCAGAATTCTCTCCTTAGCTTTGATTCTGGCAAATTTGACTGTGATATGCCTTGGTGTTTTTCTTTTGGAGTCTATTCTATATGGTGTTCATTCAGCATCTTAAATATATATTCTTTCATTCTTCATTATGCCTGGAAAGTTTTCTTGTAGTAATTATTCCACAACTGTCTTGATGCTTTTACTTGCTTCTTCCTGTTCTGGAATTCCTATTATATGCATATCATTCCTCTTGATAATGTCCCGCTTTATTTTTATACTTTCTTATTTTTCCTTTTTTATTCTAGCAGATCAATGGTGACAATTGTACATTCTATTGTGCAGGTTCTGTGTTCCATCTCTTCAACCCTATTCATATGTCCCTCCTACATTGACAGCATCTGAAACATTGGTCCTCATATTCTGGATTGTGGTTTCTTGTTGGTTCCCCCCCCCCAGAGTCAGTAATTCCTTGTTTGTTTTATTTTGGATATTTTTTTAAATTCTTTTTTGTTTTTGCTTGCAGAGTCCTGTAATTCTTCGAGTTTGTCTTTCACCCATTGAAAATATTCAGCTCTTTTGAATTTTATATCAGAAAATTCCATGAGACTTTCTGGCTTCAGGAAATCCATTGATTTTGGGGGTATGTGACATTTTGTTTTGGGTTTGTGTAGGGTGTGAGGTAGTCTGCTTTTTCTGTGACATTGTTGTGGTAGAGTTTTTCATGCCTGAGGTCTTAGTAGGCTCTTCGTCTGAAAACCTTGGATCAGGAAGTCACCGCTCCAGAGGAGGACTGAACAGGTACCCTGCCTGAGTTTCTCTCTGAACTTTTGGCTCAAGGGAAGACTTCCTTCATCTCCGGAGATACATGGCCTGTCAATTAGCATGGAACTGCTAATATTAGGCAACTGCTGCAGCTAGGTGTGTCCAAGGTTTCCAGTGCTAAAGGCAGCTCAAGCTCTGTGAGGGGGATGGAAATGGCTTCAACTGTGATACTAGTGTCCCTGACACACTTCAGAGGGGTGTTAATGAGTCATTCTTCAGGCACTGGTGTGTCCTTCAGGTGACAGGCTGTCCAGGAGGCAGAACCAGGTCCTCCAGGTGGCGGGAGGGAGCATCCAGGCAGAGGGGCTGTGAGGTCCTCCAGGCAGCAGGGATGGTGTGCCCAGGCAGCCAGCGGGAGCATCCAGGCAGCAGGGCTGTGGGGCCAGGTCTTTAATTAAGGCAGACATGATGGGGCCTCCAGATGACCAGTGGGAGTGTCCAGGAAGCAGGCCAGGTCCTCCAGGTGGTGGCTTCAGGGTTTCTAAGCAACAGGGCCTGGGCCACCAGGTCAAGCGGCTGGGACCTCCAGGCAAAAGGGCTGGAACATCCAAGCAGTGGGACTACAGTTTAGTGCTCCAGGCAGCAGAGCAGTCCAGGTCACACTAAGAAATTTTTAAGACAAGTTCCTAGTTAATTGGCTTGAATAGATCCACAGTGCGATGCAGCAGCTACAACACAGCTGCTGTGATGTTGCAACACAGCCACTTCGATTTCTTAACTGCTGTTCCCATGGATGTTGATTGTGAATCCAAGTAAAATGGAATTGTTGAAAACAAGTCTTTTCTTCATCTATCATGATGT